TACTAGGACAAATGAAAGTTACATTTTTTAGTACAGCTATCTGTGTTTCAAAATATTAAGTAAAATGGAAGACACTGATGTTTAAAGGAGTTTATAAAGTATGTGACAGAGCAACTTTAGTTGTTTTCTTTCTTTGAGGTTTATGGTCATTCTTATTTCGCAAGTGTGGGTTTGCTGATAGTCATCTGACACCAAATTCCTGCTAGCACACAGCAGACAAAGGGTACAAAAATAGAGGGACTCATCAGGGGGGAGGTACACAGAAGGGAAAATGGGCTCTCAGAGGTAAGACAAGAGACAACACATACCTTCACCTTCTTCATGTAGGTAATTTCTAGGTCTTATCTAGAGTTTAGAGCATTTCTGGGATTGAATCCCAGCTCCCATGGATTCAAATATTCAGAACCTAGACCCTTTGGCATCTTTGGCATCTGAGTTCAGGGTTTGTCTCAATCTCAGTCCATGCCCATAAAAGGTTCTTGCTGGTTTGTGCAGTGTTCCCAGTGGACAGGCCAAAATATATCATGCTGTACCCAGAGCCCTTCTGCTGACGAGGCAGGCCCTGGAATCTTTCTCAAACACATTGCCCATGTTTCACAGCACGTCATCCCGCTTCTCCCTCCCACCCTCATTACAGCTGATTGGACAGGACTGGACCCTTTGACACAAGGCAGTCAACCTCTAGTCTGGCCAGTGACTGATGAGATAGCAGAGAATGAAAAGGCTCAGTCCAACAGGAACTTGAGTTTTGGGGAGCTTGGATTTTAGATAGCCATGGATATAGGGATAAAGGCAGAGATGTGAAGATAGAGATAGCACTAGAGATTTCTGTGAGGTATATGAGTTGGAAAGGTTCATGCATTTTGAGAAGAAAAAATGGAACAAGAGTGAACCAAAATGATGGGTTAGCTCAAAGCCAACCAGAGCAGTACAGGCGAGTCATGAGGAGAAGCAGAAGGAGAGGAGACAAGTTATTAATCTCCCTCGGAGTGCAGGCTGGCATCTGCCTGCTCAGAGGGCGAATGACGCAGCCTGCAGCCCAGTGGTTCACTGGATTCTTTAATCCCCACACCACATTCCAGGATCCCTGAGGCAGGGTCGCAGGGCTGTTCTTAGGATTCTGCAAGATGTCTTCCTCCATACTTCTATATTTATAAGAAGACCCCATCATGAGGAGATAGGAGTGCATTTCTTTCTTGCTTGGGAGGATTTGAGAAGGAAAAACAATTCCAGTCCATGCAGATGGGTTTTCTGTAAGGCAATGTGGTCTCTTTTCAGCAATGCAAAGCTTTTGCTGGATAAAATCTTGGAGCAAGGACTTCAATAATGCTTCAATTATGCAAGAGGACACCCCGTGGTCTTGGGGACATGAATGTCCTAACAGAAGCAAAAATGTTCCCAAGTAAGTTATTCCTTTCAATCATTATCCTCATTTAGACGCCTGGGGTGGCAAGGGACAGCAGGATAATTAATGAGGGTGCTTGTCACAGTCACATGGCTCCCCATCACTCTGAGATGCTCAGAATCCAGAGATAGTGGGGGATTTGCCAAATGAACTTTGAAAAGCTCCCTAGACCAGCTTTTCTTAAACTTTAGAGGACATAAGAACCACCTGGGAATCTTAAAAATGAAGATTGTTCAGTGGGTCTGGGGTGGAGCCTGGGAGTCTGCATTTCTCACAAGCTCCTGTAAGATGCTGATGCCATTGGTCTGGGGAAGCATGCTGATAGGAGGAGGCTGTGATAGGACCCCCTTATGCCTGAGCAGAGAAAGACTGCCCTGTGTAACATCATGTCATTAGTGCTCATTAAAATACATGCATGAACCATGCTTCTGAGGCTCTGAGAGCTATTCCATGACACCTGACAGGGAACACAAATGCGTCAGCTCTCGATCCATTTAGTAAAGAGGAAAATACTTGAAAACTTATCTCTGAATTTCAAACCATTAAGAAACTGATGTCAGTAATTTTTTTTTCCTTAATAAATTTGCAGCTTTTGAGCTAGAAGAATAGACAGGCTGGAGCACTGGGCAGGAAAGTTGGAGAATAGTCAGAGACAATTCTAGTTGGTAAACGTCTTTCATGGATGAAAACTTAAGCCTTCACAATGAAGAAAAGGGAAACCATCAAGAATTAAGCACATCATATGGAAATAGACCCTCCTTCAGACCATGGATTTAACACTTAAATCCCTCCCCCTCACACTGACCAATTAAATCTGTTTTACAGAACCACCTGAGAAGATAGGGTATCTATTACAAGTGGACTGACTAACTGGTTTTGTCAAAAGACTCTTAAAAACTTAGGGCTAAGGTTACTGTGCTCATTGTCTAGAGGTGGGCCATAGGGAGGGGCCAGAGCATTCTACCCTGTTGACTATATAAACGAATGTAAGGTCTCCTTCTGAAGTACTGCAGCTCATTTACAATATCACCACCCTTGAAAAAGAATGAGACTTGAAGACATCTGGGACTGGCTTGGTCCCAGAGTCACCCAGGACCTCTACAGATGACTTTCTGGCCTGCCAGCCCATGATCCCAAGTCCCACAACCTTCTGTGATAGAAGCTGGGAAGCTACACAAGTCAGGCACACTGCCCAGTGATTGGCAAGGGCTGCAGTAAGTTCCCTAAATTGGTGAGATCATCCTTGGGTCAGCTCCCGACCTACTAGCTGACTGACTGTCATTGCCCTTCAGATGGTGGACACTGATCTTGGGCACCTTGGAGATAAGAGACACTTCCCTGATTACCATCCTTATTGCCCCTGGACTTCTCGCAGGGTGACCAACTCCTTCTGGTTTGCCTGGGACTTTCCTGGTTTCAACAGTGAGAGTTCCATGTCCTGAGAGAAACTCCAGTCTCCAAGAAACCAGGATGATTGGTCATTTCTGAGATGAGTGAAGAATGGGTGGTGAAGAAATCATATGGTAAGACACAAAAGGAACAGAAAAGCCCAAGAAAACTGGAAGATAGAACTTTCCTGGACCCTAACAGTGACTTAGTAATTGGGGTATGATCATAAGAATATTAAAGAAAAGGATGTTTGGGGGTGGGGGGTGTGGGCTGGAGTATTTAGACTAACTAGGAAGCTTTTCCTGTCATTGTCTGACTTGCAGCTGGGAGGTGTTTCATGATAGTTGCCTTGTCACCTGCCTTCCAACATCATTGAAATTTCATAGATGAAGACAAAAGGAGAAAAGTTCCCTTGTGTTTGTGTAGTAGATGAGAGCTTGACCATCAACTCCAATATACTTCTGAAGATGAGGCTATAGGGAAATTCTGTGAGAAGCACCAAGAGATAAAAAGAGCTAGCACTCTTACTGAAACTACTTAACCAGGACACAAAACTTAGGATTCATTTTCTGAAACCAAAGATGCCACAAGAACCAAATTCTAAACTATAAGCTAATTCTAAATTTGATATTTAATAAGGGAGAGAGAATTTTTTATGGAAGTCCATACTGGACGTGTCACTCACTAATTTTGAACCCTTAAAATAACTAGGTAATAAAGCCCTAAGAATACCAAACTGTAATAAAGATCTAACAAGCCTGTTTTTTGGGACTCTGACTCTGGTGTCTATTTTAACCAAGCAAGATTAATTCATGACCTACGAGCTCTGCAGACTTATGTTTATTTATAATATTCAATATTCCCATAAGCACAAATGTTCCAAATGGAAGGTTGCATTCTGATAATGCCCATTTCTTCATTAAGATTTCATCATCCACCTACATTAAAAAGCCTCTCCCTATACTTTGTTGCTTTGGCTTTCACCTTGTTTATTCCTGCCTTATTTGCTTAATCTTGAGATCCTGGCTTCCCAGGCACTCTCAAATTCGAAACAAGCAAAGTTTGTGCATTAACGTGTCATAGGAATGCATGATTTATGAATGGCAGGTTTCTTGGCACAATTTAATGGTATGAGAGAGACTTTGTTTTAAACACTAACGTGAAAGTCAAGAAGTGGCAACAATGGATGGGATGTTAGAACATAATAGTAAAATAGGTAAAGAAGTTTGAGTCAAGAGTTAACCAATTATTACTCAGTCTATTTCTTAATCTATGGATTGATGTTCCAACCAATTTAATAGCTTATAAGAAGCCCTGACATTTGATCAACTAAAAAAGCACTTTATATTGTTGTTCTGATGGCTTACCCAACCAAACTCTCACTCTACAGAAAAAAAATTATCACTAACATTTATATCAACAGAGAAAAAGAACATTTCTGACCAGTCCAAAATAAATTTGTTTTCTCTTTATTACGTGTCCTAGTTATATTCTGGTCATTTCCATCATAAAATTCATCCTCTTACAGAATTTTGTAAACCAATCTATCAGTCAGTGTTGCCAAATCTCTTAGAAAAAAGTGAATACCTTCATGTCAAGAAAACTTCCCTTCCTCAGTAAAATTAGAGTCCAACTCTTGCTATATGCCCATGTAACAGAAAGTCTCAATATTCAAGTTTATTTTTCTCATTACAAACTATGACCACAAATAATATAATTTTGTATAATAGTGATAACTAAAATATACTTAATAAGTAAAATAATTATTAACTAATTATTCTAAACGATCCCTTGTTGAGATGTTCTAACCACTTCACATACAAATCAGTCATGTCTAATCTTTCTTCAAAGATGGCTACGTTGAACAACTCATGAAATTATAACTCAGGTCCTCAAGTAACAACACAATAATTTTACATCTACATTTTTAATGTGTCATGCAATGATTGATCATAAATGCTTTCAGAAGACCCGAATGTTAGGAAGATCAATGTTAGGAAATGAGGACTAATAAAGCCCAGGGCTTGAGCAAGCTCGGGATTCACAAGACAACTTGACACCTTGCGTCCTACACAAGCCTCCATATGCTTTACGGTGGAAGCAACTTTGAGCCACATTCACCATTCAGGGCACCTGCCCACCACAGAGGATACTGACACTGACCATTGAACAGAGCCCTACATGCCATATGGACAAAATGGGTTACCTTGTAGATTCTGCAATGGCAGAGTCATAATGCCCCCGGCTGCAGCTGCTGCCACCAGCCCTTGGATGTTGGTGAGATTCGCAGTAGGCAGTGTGAGGACCAGTCCTTGCTGCCCTCCTAGCTGTCCCGCCATGTTGAAGGGGATGAGAATAGGCTGGTTGAGGGCTGGTGTGCCTCCTGGCATCACGCCGGTGACAGCAGAGGCTAATTGTTGAGCCGTCAGAAATGGCTGCAAGGAAACGGACAATCCTAGCTCACTTTCCAGTAGAACCAAGACATGCGCTATTAGAGCATTTTTCTTCTACTTACGCAGAGTCTGAAACTTCCTGAACAAGTAGTAAAGAAACATGCTGTACTCCAGAAAAAAACGATTGGTAGAAAATAATTAAAGTCACATTTCACTTATTTTTTTGGAAAATTTAATTTGGTTCGGACATCCTCTGAGAAGCTCGAATACCTTTAAAAGTGTTTCCTTACATTTATACCTTTAAAAGTGTTACCTTACTTATACATTATTCTTCTGATGAAGTTTCATTTGATCTTACCCTTATATATTTGAAACTCTGATATGTTATTCTGTGTTGTTCCACAAATAACTCATTGGGATCAGTGGAAGTTTTTATTTTATTTTTTTCGTTCAAAAATAGCAACAAAATACTATTTTCATCTATTAAATCAGTGAAAGTAATGTCAAAGATTTACTCAGTGTAGGTAAGTCTGCAGTGACACCATTATGCGAATTTAGGACATGCGCCTTTTGGAAAGCAATTTTAAGATTCATATCAAGAGCTACAAAAATATTCATCCTCTTTTGACTCAGCATATACTTCTGGGATATAGGCTGAAGATATAATTCAAACAGAACACAGACAAATGCATAAAAGTATGCATTACATTGTAAAAACATAAATGCTGAAAAAGTTTGTTACAGTACTAAACTTGATAAAATATTACCTAGTCTTGAAACTGGATCATTATGACACCTTTTTAGGAAAATAGAAAATGTTTATAACATGAGGATACAAAAAATAAAATGGAAAATAATTAAGCAAATGATAGTCATTGTTAAAATGGAAAATTATATGTGTATAATGACAAAATCTAAAAAGAAATATAGAAAACAAAAATATTTCATGTGGATAAACTTTAAAATGCTTTAAATATTTCTTTCATTATCACATTAACATTCTTTTCTGAGTTAAAACAACATTAAAAATACATGTTTATGTCCATTATTTATCCAATAGCCATTGTTTGATATGGAAAGGCAGTCACATAGGTGTGCTTTGGACACTCCACGTACTTGAGCTTGGTGTGGGCTCTTCACCAGTATGATGGAGGAAGGATCCCTACCCTGGCCAGCCAGGTGACCCAAAAGGTCACTGATCTGAGAGTTCTTAATCCAAGATTTTCATTGGATCCCTGTGGGAGCCTGTGAGACAACCCTGTGTCCATTTTTCTTCGATAAACCAAAACTCTTATTGAGAAGTTTCAACATGTTTGTTTTTAATGCAGCATGATTCTGTAAGTTAAAGCTAATTCCCTAGAGGCATAGTACAAAGCCCAGTATCTAATAGTCAGGCACTATTCTAGTGCTGCTATGCATATGCATTTGCTCTGTTATCCTCACGCCAAGATGCAGAGACCTTACTAACTTGCCCCAAATCCCATTTCTAGTGGGGGTGGTAGGGCTCAAGTCCAGGCAGGCTGCTTCATAGCTCACGTTAGATTTAGAGAAGTGGGCTTCTTTGTTTGCAGAATGTGGACGAGGAGGGCTGAGCCCGTTCCAGCCATTCCCTGTGGTTGCCCCTCATCTCCTTCTGGGGAGCCCTCTGAAGAAGCCCCAGGACTCCATGCAGCCCAGTCTTAGAACCACTCTTCTATCCTCTGTGGGCCTAGCTCCTAATATATTTTCTAGGCTTTACTAAATTCACACAGAGTAACTATGATTTTCTTTAGAAAAAAAAAAGTTGCTCTGAAGCACTAAAATAAACATGTGTTTTAGAAATAAGTACAAAATGGTAAGCCGGTCCTCAGATTGCTGGTATTATATCACTGACACTAGTAATATCACGATAAGAGGGAAGGCACATGGGTAGTCCTCAGACTGTACACAGGCCACAGGTTTGGGGGTTTGGGGGTGGGGCACTTTTTAAAATTGAATTTGCAGGCTTACAGCAGGGACTGCAATCTCCAGCTTCTCACGGTGTCCACGGTTTCTCACTGTCTGGGCCTGCTGTGTTGCTCACATAACCCGGAGGTATTAGAGTTTGTTCCCCGGTATGTTCACACACACACACACATACACATACAAGTCATAAGCATAAAATTAGAAAGGGCATTGCTGGAAGAAGCCAGATTCCCAGTAAAACTCTCTCTGGGCTTCCATAGAACAGTAAACACCTCCCCAGGCCTCTGTCCTCGAGCCCTTGTGCTCCAAGTTGGACACTGAGCTCTGAGGCCACAGCGGGGCTTGGTGGGGCTGGAACAAGAAAGTTAAGACCAATCCAACCTCTAAACTTGGGTTTTCAAGCCTTGAACTGAGGAGCCCTCCAAGTGAGCAAAGTGATCAATTTCCAGAAGCAACAATGACAGCAAAAGAGAAAGAAAGGCTTAAGCATCAGGCCTTGTCCCATAAAATCAGGGTGAACTCTGATAGCTTCACACTAAATGACAGAGGTTAAATAAAAAAGCCCAGCCTTTCATAATTGTGTTCTATTCTCCATATAACCACAGCAGGCTGCAGAAAACAAATATTAGACTTTAAAAAATAATGAATGTATTTATTAATGCAGGGGCTGTATATGATGTACAGTATTGTCAAACCCAATAAGCTGAACTTGCATTAAAATTGCATTAACTTTTTTATATTAAATCACATCTTGTATTTCAAAAATGGCTATAGTAAGGTTGAAATAACTTAATTTTCTTCACACTCCAGTCATTAAAGTTTTACTTTCTAGAAAACTGCATGGTAACCAACAATGCAGTTGCAGTGGGTCTGAAGAAGGAAAAAACAAAAACCAAAACAGTATTCCAAATTATTAAAACCAACATTTCCTTTAAAAAAGAGACAAGTTCTGCAAACCCATTTGTTTTCCTGATGGTATTTAATAAATAATGTAGTCATACAGCTTCCCATACAAATATTTATCACCATCTTTTCTCTGTTAGAGTTAATTGGATTGAACTCATTGTTATTTATTTGGTTATTTTTATGGTTAAACCATCCTATATGCAACTTAATAGAAAGCAGTTGAGAGATACTGACCTGTGGCCCAACTGGGAATGGGGGGTGGGTATGACTGGCCTGGTGCTGGTCAGGAGTGCCTGGGTCTGATAGTGCCGTGTTGCCTCTGGCCCCTGGAATTCAAAAGAGAAATGCTCCCTTAATATACGATCCAGCCTAGCAACTGCACGTGACCTATTTTTCTGTGACATCACATAACGAAGGCACAGATGATATGCCAAGTGATTTACCAATAGCTGTAGTGTGTAAATCACTCTTCAACTGTATAAATTATGCTAATGAACATTCAGGATGACCAGAGTCGTTCCAGGAGGTAGAAGGCGATGACAGAAGGGAAAGTGACACTATCATCAGTGGCTTTAATAGGCTTGCACTATACATCAGTTTGCATGGGGCATTCCAGTGAGTCTCTGGTGTGGGAAACTGCACCCTTTATGCATAGTTGGGTGACAGCTAATCCAATTTCTCAAAGCCAGAGAAAGTGTGATCTCAGACATGACCAAGTGCGTCTATATTTTCTCTTAATATGGCTTCATATACTTAAGCCCCTTTCCATACACACTTCGGACACTGAATCTTATAAATGTGTTTTCCTAAAAACAAAGCCTTTTTCAAGGTCACCTTATGTGATGTCCTAAAAAGAACATGGACCTCCTGAAGCAAACTTCCTAACTGAAACAGTAGGAACCCCACACCACTTCCAGAGAGCCTCCCTATGCTAAGCATAGAGCATAACTTACTTCCTTTGCTGGAATTCTGTTAGACACCAAAGCATGAAATATAAAATTCCACCAAAACAGCAGAGCTTTCAAGCCTTCTTAAACACTATAGCTTCTCTGTATGGGCGTATGTGCTTTGTTTCAGGACAAACTGTAGCAGATAAGATAATGGCAGTAACAATAAATGCATAAATAAACAAACAAACAAACAAATAGAGCTAATAGCAATTTTTGAAGGTTTGTAAGGGTAGCTATTTTTTCTTGGTGGTTAAAATCCAATTCCAAACCATCCTTGACAAGATCCTCTTTCCTGATGTTTGTCCTATGAATAACAAGTGGAAGACAGTTCAAATCCTGTTTACTGGTGTGCCACGGATGACCAAAAATAAAATTAAAAAAAAGATGATTCTGTCACATTTATAAATTTTAAAGAAGGTATTATTGGCTCATTTAAAACAAATTCTTCTATATATTCTCCAAAGGGACAGGCTTATAAATAATGGAAATGTGGAAAAAAGTACTTCAACACATTAAGCCACAAATAAAATTGACTGCTACATATTATTCAATTGACTTCTATCTCCACTGTGGTGTGTCAATCATAACATCATTTTATAATAGGATTAAGCAATAAATGTGCAAAGCCATTATGCAGAAATCTGAAAATCTGATTAATTTGTAATATTTTTTTTTTTGCTCAGAAAGTCAGGAATGGACATTGCTTGGGGAATACTTACAAGAGTTCTACTGAAATTTCTAAATTGATTTGGAACAAACTAATAAAAACACAGACTTGCTGACATTTTATAAAGTGAATTCTGTCAAAATATGTTTGGCATTTTAATGATCGTTGTCATTTAATAACAAGGGTGAGATGACCCATCAGAAGATGCCAACAATTTCCCCATAATGTGCAGGAGACCTTTCTTCTAAATTTTGTATACATGATTTACTTATGCTTGAATAGCAGAGCACTTTAAACTGCGAGCTGCATTATGCACTGTAAATCTCACAATTCCCCTTCTTATGTACTCAAGTCCTATTTTGCCTGAAAATTCTCGGCAGAGCTCCATGTACTTTTATAGAATTAACCAGGTCCAAAGTGATACTTTTGGTCAAATATTCACATTAGGTAAATTCTCAAATGGCCAAAAATCCTCTTAGGTTTAGTTTTTGATGTTCTCAAAAATGTTATTGCTTCCCCATGTTTGCCAGGCATGAATTTTTGCAGCAGACTGTGAAAAGAGTTTTAGAATGCACAGAAAAAGAGAAAAACCCTTTTACACCATTGAAAAATACATCTCTTAATCTTTAAAATTGCCAGGCCGTTCTGTTCATACTTCTTTCATGAGTCCCATGCTTATTTGTAGACTGTGTTCCAAATGACACGCCATTGTAAGGTTTAGGATTTGTCCCATGCAGACACTGTGTCACAAGGTTGTGTGTGTGTCACCCGTAGCTTCACACAGATTACATTTGCTTACATTTGTTCTCTGTTGCTGGAGGCCCAGTGTGCAGCCACTGGTTTTGAAGGTGGTTATTCTCAAAAAACCATGTTCAGTGCAGTACAGTGCAATTCCACACAATTTCATGTGTAAAATGAAGTCTTTCACAGACTCTAGAGGAGATTATGTATGCTCTCCTGCCAGGATCAAAAAGTAATGTTTCTTCTTAATGCACATCTCCATTTTCTTCAAATGCCTGTATCACACTTAACTTTTTAGGACCATAAACTAATTTGTTGGGTCGTAAGGCGGCTCCCAAATCAGGGGTCTTCTCAGAGCCAAAGGGGAATCCCACAGTCAGAATGAATACACGGTGTTGCTAAGAGAGAACCGAAGCAGTGTGAGCCTACATTACCAGAGAATTTGGCGTTAGCTATTTCCACTGGCACAGGCACGAAAAGACTAACTTAAATGGGCTGGGCAGGTTCCTTCCGATCAGGCTCCTGGGAAACGCGTTACCTCTCCGTCTCTCAGTGGCCTGTTCTGGAGTTAACAGTGTGTGTTATTCAGGTGGCAGCTGTGAACTCCAGCAAGGCAGGGACTATTCATTGGTTAACCCAGTTACGCCCAGCACTGGTGTAGGCATTTTACTCATACTGATTAAATATTCACTCAGTAGAAATAGAGGCTTGGGGTTTTCATTGGGGGTGGTATAATTCCTTCAAGAGCCGTATTGGAATCCACTTGACAATTTACTACTGTTTGGCATAAACTTTAGACATATCTTTAAATCGTTAGCTTGCTGGAAAATTCTAACTCTGTTCCAATTTAGATATTAAAAGCAGCTTGCTGTACAGCTTAAAAGCAAGGATTCTTAAATTTTCCGCTCTGCCTGGGTTTAAATTTAGCTCTGCCACTTCACTAGGTATGTGAACTTGGGCTTGTTTTCCCTCTTCTTCAAGCTTCCTCTTGTGAAAGCCTGGGGAAATAACAGCACTTCCCTTATCAGGCTGCTGTTGTGAGAATTGAATGAAAAATATATTTGCAAATCTTTTGGAACAGAGCATGCTTACCACATAAGTGCTATCTCTCTTGACTAGTATCTAATAAGATTTCCTTTGTATTTAATATAATATTTAATATTCGTTAATTAGCCCATAATATTCACCTGCCCCAAGTCAACTCAGTACATACTCCCATCCCTATGTGTGTGGCCCACACTCCCTCACACACCACCCCAACTGTGCATATTCTGTACCTTTAGATGAGTGTTTTGAAAGGAACCAAATAGTTGGGCCTCTAAGAGACTACCAAGGGGGATATTTACAGATAATGCTTCTTTCATCCTGTGGTATCATGACCAGGAAATATGGCACAAAGATACAGCCTCCAAATTCTCATCCTGACCCGGGCTTCGATCAGTAGTTCTTACCCAGACCTGTGAATCAGCCTGGTCTGTGGAGCTTCTGAAACGCAGAGGGTCACATCCCTCATGAGACTACTGACAGAACATCTAAGCGGGGGCTCACATGTATGTTTTATAAAACGCCACCAGTGATTGAAGACCATGGGCAGAGAATAGTGGCTTAGAGGCTGCCCAGGCACATCCGCATCGCCCTTGCACAGAGGATGCTCACACAATCGTTTCATGAAGAGCAGATGGGCCGTCGGCTCCTATTTCTCAGCCAGACTCCCAAGTTTCTTCACCTGGGGCGTTGTCCCAGCCCAATCCCGGTATATTTCTAGCTTAGCAAGGGCAAGGCCCATCTCAGATACATGTTTTCTTTATAATTATGATTTGCTCACTGGTAATTCAAGAAGTATAAAAACTGGTTTCAGGGCCAGCCGAGTGGCTCAGTTGGTTAAGAGCTCGCTCAAGAGTGTGAGCTCTGAGCAATAGCTGTTTGAGTCCCGGCCTGAGCTGAGCTGCTGCTGAGCTGCCAACAGGTGGCAAGATGGCTCAGCTAAAAACAACAACAACAACAACAACAAAAACCCCTGATTTTAGAAGGATCGTAGTATAAACTTTTAAATAGCTGTATAATAGGAGTCAATTCTCTGCAAATAACAGGGAGCCCTGCTGTAAACCTGCTATGGAAAAGAGAGGTCATGAATGATGAAGACACTGAAAGACTGATTAGGAGTTTGGCTGGGACATGAGGATAAAACTTATTTTTAATTGTTAAATGCCTGATTGTCAGAACATTGGTTCATTCAACACCGTCCTTCCGGTGCTGAGTTCACATCTGAAACCTACAAAGCTGATTGCGGACCACTCTGCTCTGGAGGCACGGGGTTATTGGCGGAACCAAGACAGGTGATGCCCCAAGCCTTGGGCTCTTGCCCTCAGTGCTTGTTGAGGAGACAGCCTGTCAGTCCACCCTCCCCGCCCAGCTCAGTTCAAGGCCACAGTTCCTGAAGGACTGCCGCTTATTCCTAGCAATATGAAATATATATATGAATGATGAGTTTTCATTAACTAAGGCAAACCAGGCTTGGCATCTCTTAGTTATTCTTAAAGTAAAATCGATGTGCACTCTAGTATAGAGTTTTAAATCCTACCACCCTGCCATTTTGGAGTTGACTTCCAAATAAGTCATTTTAAGAAACAAATAAAACATTGTTAACCCTGGGAGAGTATACTCCTCTGTGGAGCCTTACCCCGTTACCTTTGTAAAAAAGATACAATGGCCATGACATAGAGAAGGAAACAGAACTGCAGTATGAATTACTTGTCCCGAGTCAGCCAGTTCCACCTTCTCCTAGGTGGAGGCCATGCCCACCCCATTCAGGGCACCAGATTCTCTTGTTAATGACCAATGCATTTTTAATGAATCGGGTTCTGCACAGGGATAGTTTGGGTTTCTGTCCTCCGTGCGTTAGCACAAACATAATCACATGAAGGTCACAGGGCTCCCTCAGCTTTTTCTGGTATTCATACCTCTCTTA